AACCCTATGGGTGTTACAAGTGTCTGTGGGCGGCAGTAATCACTTAACATCGGTTACGCTGCCAGCTCGCTTGCCACATAGTCTTACATAAAAATAATGGTATGAAAATAAAATTGTGAAAAATATGTGTATCGAAAACATTTTAATCATACGGTTAATACCTCTGTTTTACTGTCGTAACTATGCATTGTACAGTTGTATCAAGGACAATCAGAACGTGGTTACGTAAAACGACACGATTGTTATATGCATTCGTATGCTAGCGCCATAGCAAATTTGATTCGATGTGGTAATGTAAAATACACTATGTATGATGTTGTGTCCAATCTAAACAATTCGCCTCGTTTTCTAAATTCGGATGACGCCCAAACCGAAAAACATGAAGGTACCTTTCTTAATTAAATTTGTAACCTGGGAGCACAGCTTTGAAATACCTTCAACCTAAAAGGAATAACATATCAGTGAAGATCATGCGAGTTTCGAGGACTTCATCAGGTCATGAAAATATTCACATTTATCAAAGCATGCCAGTGCCAATATATACATGGGCACTGGCTAAAACCAAATAACCGTTTTTTTTTGTCAAATACTTTAAACAAATACTCACAAACAAAATGTGCAAATGTAATTACATACATATATTGAAGCCGTTAATAAAAGTGCTTAATAATTTCCCATATTTACGCGATATTTCCGTAACACATTACAAGACTCCGATGTCTGTCTGTCCGTCGGTCTGTCACCAGGCTGTATCTTATGAACCGTGATAGTAAGTTGAAATTTTCACAGATAATGTATGTTTGTTGCCGCTATAACAACAAATACTAAAAAACAGTATAAAAATATTAAAGTGAACCTCCTAAATTTAGATTCAGAGCTGCGCGTTTCAAACACAGTTGCCTGGATTGAAGTCTCTCGTTTGCAGGTTCTATACTTGCAAGTACCTATGATATACGAAGACGACTCTCTCTGGTAAAAGTCGACAGGAGTTAAGCCTGTTGCAATAACGAAAACAAAACAAAATAAAATAGGTGAATCCTGGGCAGCTATATCTCTGTCCATAATGAGTTTGTGAGATATTTTTTTATATCAGAACATAAAAGGTTTACAGTTAAACAAAGACGTTATTCAAAAATTCTCTTCATGCTTTTCTCGATTTTAAATGACCCAGCTTCTCCATCCTATCTTAAAGATAAATTTAAGTACCTCTCTTAAAACAATGAAAGAAACCTCCGTTCTTCATCTAACCTCAGAAATCTTTCTATTGTTTCTATTTGATCCACATAATACTAGTTTCTTCGGTGACTCTTTTGCCGTTCAGGCTGCACTACTTTGGAACTCAAAAGCAAAGTACGCGAATTTTACTTAACATCTGAATGTTAAATTTCATCATTATTTCAATATCGTTTATATATTTATATTTATGTATATATGTTAATATTTTTATATATAATATGTATTTGTATATACATATATATATTTTGTATATGTATGTAAGTATTTATATTTATTTCAGCGTGGGTATATTCCAAACATTGTATATTTCATTCACATTAGTAATGAACTTATTTTTTTTTGATTGCACCTACCACAATTTATCTCCACGCCCCGGGTTGACTGGGAGAGAATGCCTAAAGGCATTAAGTTCGCGCTTTGTAATCCTTGATTAAGGTAATTGCAATAAAGTATAAATTAATAAAAATACCCGGGTTTTAGCAAAACTTTTAGCACATAACGATTTCTGAGATTCCTATAAGTTAAAAAAGTTAAGTAACAGCCTATACATGTCTAACTGCTGAGCAAAGGCCTCTGTACAGAGGGTATCAGGGCATAGTCTACCCCGCGGCCCCACTGCGGATTGCCGGACTTCACATATCTTCGAAATATATATTTTTTTTGTTATTATTTCGAAAATATGCAGGTTTCCACATGATGTTTTCTTCACCGCTGAGGACGTGATAAATCAGCACCTAAAATTAACAATTTCATCGGTGCCGGCACCGGGGATCGAACTCAGGTTGCTCGAATATATTACCTAAATTAAAGGCGTCATCTATATGTTAACTGAGGCTAAAAACATTTAAATATACATATTACAATATCTTCCGTTCATACGTATTGCCTAAGATTACGATATCTCTCGGTCGTTTTGAGATAAATGTGGCAGTAAGTCGCACTCGACGTTAGATTATTTTAAAGATCATAGGAACTGTGGAAATTTGTTTGATATAAAGTAATAAAGAAATACCTTAACTCCTCTCTTCCATTACAGATAATGTACGTAAATTTCCAGTATTTCCTCTGAAAAAGTAAACTCGCTGATTAAATTCAAAAGGCCCTAAACTTCCAACTTCAATCAAGTCCATGTAGCAAAAAAAACAGCGATCAGGCGGTTCTCCTAATGTTCGGTGTGTGGGTTTGCAGAAGCATCGCCTATAAAAGAGTGATGCTTAAAGAAAAAGTTGCTCTTCTGTGAGATCGCTGTACATTCAAGCTATGGCTCGAGTCCCCAATAAAAAAATATATTTTTACGTTCCACTTTACTTCCACCAGATGCAATTCAGTTTTTATGTAGTTAGTTGTCATGACCGTTACTTACTATTTTTTTTTTATTTTTAATTAGAAGTACAAATGATTAAAATACAAATGAATTATAATTGTTCAAAGGAATCTTTAAATGAATAACATATACGCTATGTATATCTACTTATTATTACATAGCCATACTGAGATAGGGTGAAATATTTCTTCAATTAGACGACGTTTTTCAGGAGACTACTGTCTGTCGCCATAAAAAGTCAAAAAATTCGCAGCTTGTGTTTAAAATATTAATATAAATATCATTTATTACATTACAGGAATGTAGAAGCTATTTCCTAAACTAATATATAGAACAATGGGAAATCTTGATTTATTTTGTATAATTTTAACAAATTGATTGCTTAATACACTCAGCCAATTCAAACGTAATTACCAGAACGTTTCTCGTAAAGGCATATCAACGTTTGATTTTAACTTCTAAGCAATGTTATTATATACAATTAATAATTTTATTACAGACGCCGGTACAATTTTCATAACACACTGTTGGACTTTTAAATTGATAGCGATTAAATTGTAATTGTTTCTATTCTGCAATTTAGTTATCGTAATCCTTGATACTTCAGTGTCTTAGCGTTTCTTCGGGCGCTTGCTTTTAATTTAATATACTCGAGCAACCCGAGTTCAAATCTCGGTGCCTAAACCAATGAAAGTGTTAATTACATTTTTAAGCCCTGATTCATTATACTCTCAACAGCGAAATGTCGTAAATAAGGAAACCTGCATATTTTAGAAATAATAATTAAATTTTTTTTTTGAAGATGGCTAAGTGAAGTCTGCCAATTGAGGCGGGGTCCACCAAGTGTGGACTAATACTTTACATATGGTCAATATATGTATGTATGTATAGGCTAAGATTAGACGTTACTTTAGGTACTTATAGTAAAGGTGTGTAATATTATATTTTTTCTGGAGACTGAAGTGTTCTATGACGCTTTATAGGTAATCATTGATTTGTACAACGCCAAACAAAGAAATGGGCTGCTATTATTAAGTAGAAAATAATTCTTATGAAAATATGATGCAGAAAGATGACTCGGTGGCGCAGTTGCTAAACTCTTGTGTTTGGCGACCCCGGGGTTAGTGAGTTCGATTCGACACGGGACAAATACCCGTTTGAGTGTACGTAAAGGCAGGCAGTTGGTCGTAAAAAACCATAACAAAATGATTCCAGTTGCCATAAGAAAGACGATGATATTATGAAGAAAAACATTAAATATTGCCTTATTATATAAATATCGTCATTAAGGTTTAATAACGTGTTTTTACGTCCGTATTCAGTCTCTGGGCAACTAGTTTCATTCATCTTTAACTTCTAATTCTGGAGTAGTCTAATTTGCTTTTTGGCCGCCTAATTATAATGCAGATTTGAACATTTAATTAATTTGTTTATTATTAGAGGAGAAAAACTAGTATAATTAGTATTAAAATACAGCTTCATATTAATCCTTATCCTTTAAGCAAAGGAATAAATAGAAAAAGAATTCTCACATACAATGATTCGCAGACATCAAACCTGTTTGAATTTCGTAAGATCTTTCATGCTTGGTATGCCACACAATGTTATATAAAAAATTAGTGCCTAAATAACTTTAATTACATAAAATTTTTAATAATGAATTTCTACGTCAACAAACTATAAATGACCTACAAGTAACATATTGATATTATTCTGCCTGTTGCGCTATAAATATCATTTTGGAAATATCCTAAGCCATAAGTAGACAATTAATTTCAAATTAAGTGAACTCACTTAGTATCATACATTAATTGTTTTGTTTCAAATATCGAAATAACTGATGATTTGAATTGTGTTATGGTATAACATGTCTGTGGTATAATTCAACTTAACAACCAGAATGCAGTTGAGAAATAAAGAATATATTTTGTTTATTTTCATACATTTAAAATACTTAAGTGGTAACTTTAAAAAATGCTGCCAGTTATTTAAATCAATTCCAGTTTTTAACAAAATAAGTGGAAATTATAAACGTGTTATTTATATACAAACATCAGTATGTAACTATTTAATGTCTTATGTTCTTTCTATATGTATATTAATTTTAAAAATGAGTTAAGTAATTCATTAAACTAAAAGCCGAAACATAATTTATTTAAGAAAAGAAAATAAATTTTGAAGTGACTGAACGTTACCTTATAAATAGAATTAAATTTAAAATTAAAGTTTTTTCTTTGATTCGGATAAGCTAGAGGACAGAAAAAAGAAGAGACTCAGAAGAAGGAAATATTATTCTAACGCGGTAATAAATGTTTAAAGCAATTAGCAATAACTACCTTCATAACCATATTAAGGTATCCTTTAAATCCGTACCAATATGAATTTTATGTTAATCAAGGACACAAACATAATTAAGCAAACTCGAGAGTAAAGAACTCACCGAATATATTCAGATGGAGTTTCATGTCTTTTTTTATTTTGAACGCACGCAAAACACAAAAACACGCAAGGCGGTTTCACAGCACGCATGCGCCAACTGTCAGGTGGCGAGGAGCGCGCGCGCTGGCCTTCCTTCGACTGACGGGCTTGTTCTCTCTCGGGTACTGGCCACTGAATCCGCTCAATTCCGTGCTGCGCCCGACGAAAGCCTCACCTCGCGTACCACTTCGACTTCCATACGTCAGTGGGCAATGAGCTGAGCATTGTCCAGTACACTTTCAACTATTCGCAACATTGAAACAGCGTCATATCTTACAACTATCGACAATGGCCGACGAACTACGAAGGCGAGAACGGGCTTTGGCCGCAGTATAATATTTCAATAAATTTTTATAGTTCACGTGTTTACGATTTGGGGACATTTTCAGTTTCATACGTATGCTACGTATTGCACATTTTTCGTATCTATTTCATAATATATTGGATACGACTAATATAGACACTATATTACATCTTACCCTTGTTATGATACCAATGAAAATGTGAAAAATTTATATCCATAAAGAATATATAAAGGTATGACTTTTCGATTTACAGATGGGCGCCGTAAATTATATTTATGAAATTTTAAAAAGAACTAGTTCAAGAGTCTGCCTTTTATATCTACAATGCCGATCTTCGTTAAGTATAGAAGCCATATTATACTTGCATAGCTAATAACCATTTTAACAATTACCTTAATGAGCGTTACGTAAGGCACATAAAAATTAAATTTGTTGTGACGTTTTGCACCAACGATTTTTTGTCTTTGCGTTGAATTTGGTGGTGGTTTCTCTAAAGCGAAATCCCTCTATCGCAAAAAATATATTGAAAATGTTTCTATAAGCTAAAATATTGACAAAAATTCACAATAGGGCGACTGAAATTGACAAATATTTTCCAGCGGATCAATTCATTATCCTGTATAAAGAAACTTCAGAAAATGTAGTAACATACGTACAAGTTTAATTTTACCAAGAAAGTCAGCATCGGTCGAACATCTGTAAGTCTCGTGTTAGATGGATGACCATTGTGAGACAAGTTGTACTTACGGGACAAGGTCCCGGTTCTATATTTACTCTTGATAACTATGCCAATGACTGTGTATACAACTTCTCTATCTAAAATTAACTACGTGTTATTAAAAATATATTAAGTTTGACAAATCTTAAACAGAATTAAATATCGATAGTTAAATACAATTATAATAAACCGATAGTCTACCGCATTAGCACAGTGCTTATTCAAAAATCATTCAGGTAATTAAACTGAGAGAATACTTTCAGAGTTAATTTGATTACTGATGGTAATAAATTATTGAAAAATTATAAGAAAAAAGAAAGCTATTCTCAGTACCTACTTTAATAAGGTAGCATACAAATATCTATGAGAATAGCTTTTCTTTTTAAGCATACTTAAATATCTACATACTGTCGAAAACCATAACCATCAGGGGGTTGTATTGCCCCGGAAATACCACTGGCAACAAATTCGAAAATATACTGGAAATGACCAGCAGGAAACTTTGAGACGGTGGAGTAATTTGGATTTAAGCGTGATGTAAGGTGGTGTTATTCAACAGCTGGGATTAACCCAATAATTCCCGTCATAAAACGGGTAAGAAATGCAGATATCATTCCATCGCAAAGCCAAATGATGAAAGATGAAAAGAGATCTTAATTATCGATAGAAGAATCTGGATGTGAAGAATCGGGCGTGATTCGGCGAGTGCACCAGCAGAATCAAGAGAACAGTATCTACGTGAGGCCTTACATACGATTTATACAGTTCTACGGGCCGACAGCAAATCTTATCTCGCCCTATTAAGCACACCGGACTTTTTAAAAGTCAACTTAGCTTTCCCTTCCAAGTGGCCGCGAAATTCAACTACTCGATAGTTTAAGGCCGAGGATTCCTATAAAAGCAATGGTAATGTTCGTAGGTAAGAACGTTCTCATAAAAAGGAAATAAACAAGTGGATTTAACTTGTACTTTTATAGTGAAAAAGAGGCAAACGAGCGAGCGGGTATCTTGATAGTAAGTGATCATTTCCGCTCATGGACATAAAATTTGTAACATTACAGGAGTTATATATGCTTTGTCGGACTGTCTATTTGTATAAACCTACATCGTTTCGGTCTATAAGTACGGCTGGCAATAACTGTTTACATAATATGGTGGTGCGTGACAGAAAATTCCGAGAAAAACGCACGGTGGTAAACTGCCATCGGCTGTTTTTCACATTGTACGGTGGTGACACTCGGTGGCAGGTATTGATCCGAAAAGCTCCTTGGAACATTACCCGTGATAAACGCGACAGAAAATGCAAAGGGATGCAACGTCTCTTGCAAGGCGCTATCGCTTCGGTCAAGGGCTTAGTCATCGAAAATACCTCTATTCTAAACACCAGGTTATCCTTCATATCCAATGTCATTACAGGTTTTATACCTCATATCACCTCACCACGTGAAGACGTTTGACAATGTCGACACACGCCTACTAAATCACTGTGATAACGCGTATGGCGCCATGACCAGGACAACTCCGACATGAAAAATGTACATAAATGATCGCATGACAGGCCCGCAGAAAACTTTTTGTGTACCATCAAGGCGCTCAGTTCGACTGTCATGGAATAATGGAGTTTGGTAATTTACCAACTTACACAAAACACTACTTGAATAGCAACGTCACGCGTTACACACACGAGTTTCGTCGCATAGTTAGTTCATCAGTTATTATTATTATTTTTAATGCCATCTATAACATTAGCAAGTCACATAGACAAAATGTTGCGAATATTACTTAATAGATGTATTAAAATTACATTAATAAATATTTAAAAAAAAAACAAAAAGTACAGTATGTCATAAGAAAAAAACTTGTGTCGCTTTCCCTCATTGAGAACATTTGTTGAAAACATTGAAATATATATCTTTGTATAGATTTGGTTTTTAATGTCAAAACTCAGACCCCCAATTCATTTAATTTTAAAAGCGTTGTCTACGCATTTACAACCCTCGGGTGTAGGAGATGTCTATGGGTGGCGGTATTCACGTAACGACGTCGCGTCGACAGATTTTCACATATAAAAAAAAAATTTCAAAGTCAAATTCGAAACAAATTTCAGAAGATTAATTTAGTTCATTTTTGTAGAGAAATTGTCAAGATTTTTCAGGTGATAAGACGGCAGATCAGGTTCTACCGCGCAATCATAAGTATAACTTATATGTCTCTACCAGCTGTGCCCGCGACTTCGTCCCCGTGGAGAAGCAAATGAACAAAGTGAAAAAAGCCTAAGTTACTGCTTGTGAGATCAGCTATCTGCCAGTGGAAGCCCTTACAAAATCGGTCCAGCCATTTCAGAGATTAGCTGGAACAAACAGATAGGCAGACAAAATTTATATATTTTAGTACTAGCTTCGCCCGCTACTCTGTCCGCGTGGAATTTAAAATAAATATAATTTCTCAAATAAAAATAGCCTACAACCAGGCACACAGACAGACAAAAATTGTAAAAAATGTTATTTTGGTATAAGCATGTATCGTTTATACGTCCATTTAGTAAAACGTAGTTATTTTATTTATCCGTATAGAAGACGTATGTATTTTAAATTAAGTTTCACAGATTGAGTACCGAGAGTGTGGTACTCACAATATCCACGGATGGTGGTAAACTCTGCTATGACCATCGTGGACGCTTAAAAACGAAAGTAGAAAGAACTTATACACCCTGATAGCTCAGTGTCCGGGCGGTCGCTTTTATTTCCATAAAAACTCGCAGTTCGAATCCCGGTGCCAGCACCAAAAAATGGTGAATTTTTAGTGCTGCCTTATAACGTGCTCAGCGATGACCAAAAACATCGTGAGTAAACCTGCAATTTTTGGAATAATAACAGGAAAAATATTTCTATTCAACGCGAAGTTCGCCAATCCGTAGTGGAGCCGCATGGTAGACTATGCCCTAATAACATTTGGACAAAGGCCTTTTGACAGTTGAAACGCTTGGAAAGACTACTTACCGTGTAATACGATTACAATAAAATAAAAAGTTTATTAACAGAACCTCTTGCTAAATTAAATAATGTAAATAGGTTCCTTGGTAAATTTAACTTAAAAACAGATAACTTGTAACCAGTCATCTCAGCGTAATAGCCAATAATCAGCAATCATATATAAGACTTCTAACGTTTTTACCTTGATCCTAATATTTTAACTATTACTTAACTTGACTATTAACAACTATTATAACAACAAGCAGAACTATTGGTTATATCACCGACCGGGGCCGCAACCAAAATCCAAGTGACCGCTGCAAAGAGAATGTAATCACTACGTTTACTACGTTTGGACCGCTGCTTCATGCGACCATGCATAGATAAGACATATGTACTGAAATATAGCGACCATGTGTCCCTTGGCTCGAGTAGATAACGTCATATAATGAAATATGCATAATATTTTTCGATCTTACCGACCTAATAATAAGAAAATATGAAGTGGTGTTTTTCACAAAAGAAACAACTTTAAAAAAAGGGAAAAAAATAACAAAATTCTCTGGATTAAAAAAAATAAAAAATAAAGAAAGCAATGGCCTGGAATCAAAAAAAAAAAGGAAAAAAAAAGAGTGTGCAAATGATCGTGACACGAACCACGGCCGTCTGTTTTGGGGCCGCCCGAGCTATTGACATTTTCTCTTGCGGCGAAATTTACCGTCATATTCGAATGATATTTTTCATTTCGTGAAAACAGGGATAAAAGGACATTTTCTAAAAATGAAACCTAGCTAGATCGATTTTTCGTCCCCGAATCTACGCACATACTAAATTTCATGAAAATCGCTGGAGCCCTTTCCGAGATTCCGATTATATATAGGTACAAGAATTTCTCGTTTAAAGGATAAGATAAGTACAGCAGGGTCCTCAATTTGATAATCTTACACGAAAATAATACACGCGTTTATGTAGGTATAGAGAACACAAGTAAAAAACACGGTGGGATGTAAAGATTTACCCTTAATAGGATTGAAATAGTAAAAACTATATTAAAACACAATTTCTGTTTGACAGTCATCTTTATTAAAATAACATAATTCGTTTTAAACAAGCAAAAACAAGTTTATGTACATAAATCCTAAAGACTGTGCAGCAGGGGAAAAATACTATAAAGCAATGGAACATTGTAACAGAAAATTAAGCTAGCATTTAATACAAATAATAAATAGATCACAACATATCAGTTCCATGTGATAAGAATATATAAAATCTACCCCATGCATATCACATAGTAGATTATATATCTACTCATATATTTACTAGAATAAATCCACCTTAAACTGTAATCCGATATTGAAAAGAATAAATTACCATTTCGAAAACAGTATACACGCGTAAATCTAAACTTTTTCTTAAGTAATATGAAACATGTAATGATTGTAGGATAAATTAAAATTTAGTATTGACTATCTAGTATTTAAGCGGATTTTATATTCAAGAAATCTTGAATATTTTCATTGTGTTTATAATACGACTCAGTTTTAATAGAACAAAACTTGATTCGCCAATCCAAAACTTAACGTATAAAAATTAACTTCCGTATGTTTGGTCAACAAAATTCAATAACTAGCTGATGGATGACTTGATATTTTTTCACAACACAGACTATGAATATGTGTTTATAATATACTTTTTATTCCGAAATTCCAAGGGAAACGAAAAAAACCCACAGCGAAGTGTGGTAGGGTTCAGCTAGTATAGTCTATCATTAAAGACAATGTAACGATTGTTCAAGTTACATAAAACCAAGAAGAAACAATTCAACTTTGGGTTTTGTCTAAACTTTACTATAGCTAAAATTCAGCATGGTACACATGCTTTGACTAAATTGATATCATAAATTGGAGTATTTTACTTGAAGTAATATTTATAAGTAGTTTAAAACGGTAAACCACACTTATATAGAAACTAGTTTCGCCCGCGGCTTCGCTCACGTTGAAGTCCTTAAATGAATATCTTTCTTTAAAAATATATACATATATATTTTTAATAAAGATATTTTCAACACTTTTTTCCAATTAACCGATCTTCAATAAATACCGCCTGAGAATCCGATAATATTTCGGTAATATTAGATATTTTTCTACAAATTACTGCTGTGATGATTACTAACGGTTACTATTTTCATTTTTCGTTTCAATTATTAACATAACAAAATTTTATTAATTTAATTTTTTTACTTGAGTATTATCTATATTTGAATACAAATTTCTTACAATATTTATACAACAGGACTTTAACATGTATGAATGTTATAGTCCTCTTTTGTAATATCAAGTAAGAACTTTCCATTACTAAAATCAAATGATTACATCAATAAATTAGTAAGAAAACTTTTATCAAATCGAAATAAAGATTATTTAACAGTTATACTGTAAAATGATGAATATTTTCCATCCTGACAATTATAGTATTTTATAAAGAGTAGCGGTGTTGGGTCTTGATTAAGTGTTGAAAACTATCTACATGACTAGTTATTTTATTTTAAGTACAATACTAATCAACATACATTTTGTCTTGGTGGGATTAGTAGGTACTAATAAAACAATGATATTTTTAATAACAAATGTTTCATTGAACTAAAACTAACCTTTTTGCTGTTTTGGAGCCAACTAATTGTGCATATTCCATTATACCCACCTCATTCTCTCTGTTCTTTCCTACCTTCTTCCTGTATTTTGTAAACAATAATATGGATCCCTTGTAAAGTATTGGAATATAATTAATGTCACCCTGTTTTGGATAATCTTCATCAATACTATCTATGTCTGGATTCAATCTTGAATATGGAGAAATGTCAATTTTTGGCAGGCAGTCTTTTATTGGAAACCATTTGTATGTCTCTGGGCACAACAAATCTGAAGGGTGAAAGTTTCCCTTATATCTCATTTTACAGCATGAGTGTATATAAAAACCTAAATAGTAATACTTGAGGTCTGGGCAGAGCGAATGCAGCTGTCTTGTGAATGCAATCTCCCTAAAAAAATGTTTCAAGTTAAATATTTACACAAATGAATTGCATCCTCACAAAGTACTAATATAACATACCTCAATGCACCATAAGTGCCTAGTGTCAAATGCATATAATCAGGGTCGTAAAAGAAGTACACTGATGATACACACTTGGGTAATATATCAATAACCCCAACAGCTATAATTTTACCATCTAACCAATACTGTTGATGAAATGATCCATAACCAGAGGCAGGTCCAACCTCACTATGTTCTTCCTGTGAAATGTTTAATGATTTATGTATTTTTTTAATGTGAAAAGTTGCCAAGCGAGCAGGTGGTTCACCTGATGTTAAGTGAATACCAAATGGACATCTGGACATCTGCTACACCCGAGGTTTTGCAGATGCGTTGACAACATTTTGAAAATTGGGCTCCGGCTACCTCACTCACCAGACAAAACGCGGAAGTATTTTACTTCCACGCCACGGCTTTTACACCGGTATTCTGTGTGGTTGTGGTATGTACCCGGTCGAGCCTGCCCATTCGTGCAACAGCCGAGTTTGCTGTGTGGCCCTACCACTGTAAAAATGTAATGGAAAATGATTAGTTTGTTATGTAAAAACTAAAGAAATATATGTGTAAGTTCATAAATACATAAACACTCACATCTGTCATTTCCCATTCTTAGCACATCCTCTTGCCTCTTCTAAATCCTTATATCTATACATTCATATATTACAATATACATTTTATCAACGGTAGGTCTACACTGTTGTATGAATGAACCACTGATCCAGGGAAGTAACATCGCCTTGTGAATAGGTAACCACTTAACATCAGGTGAACTACTAGCTTACTTGCCACCTTATTACCCAAAAGTAAACACAATTATGTTAACCTACCCATACAAGCTGTGTAAGGATATTTTTGATACCACTTGCACGCAGTTTTTTATGAGTCAATATCTTTTCCTACAAATAATTTCCTAATCAAATTTATGTAGAACATCATTATAATTACCAATAATGGACTTTGAACCAAAAATTCTTTAAACTTTGGTTCACTGCACTTTGCCAGTGTATCACCATGTATCCTCGTCTGATATTTAACATACACTTCATGTGTTTCTTTAGAAGTTGCTAGCCACTCTGGGCTAGGTGGAGTTGTTCTCACTAATTTAATCTGAAATTATGCAAAAACAATACAATACATAAAAAATAACCAATATTGTAAATAATACTTTGCTGAAGAATAATAAGTGACAGATTTATTTTACCTCTAGTTTATGTTTCACAATTTCTGGCAACTCATTGATGATATCCTCAATTTGTTTTTCATTATTTTTATTAGTGTTTATTAGGACACTTATATCAACACCTTTTTCCTTAAGTTTTTGTAACCTTTTCTCATGTCTCAGAAGCTTTGCTTTTTTACATGGTGCCTTAGTAATATCCATGCCCATATCTGTGGAAAAGGAATTTAATACATTAATAATATAAGTAAGAAGATGCCAAACAAGCTGGCAGTTCACCTGATGATGAGTACTGCCGCTCGTTTTGCAACAACCAATACAGGATAACAAATGCATTGCCATGTGCGTGACCCTACCACAGTATAAGTATCACAAGGTATTTGAAACTTTAAAATATTATATTATAATATTTATATATTTTATCACCTTTCTGAGGTGGCGCAACATTCGAAGATGCTGGTACGGCATTATATATTGATCTGTTTAAGGATGTGCCTGTAAAGTGGGAAATTATAATTCATTAACTTTACAATAATTTATTTGGAATTCAATGGAATTGCACAAACCAATGTACTAACCTTTGACATCTCTCTTAACAATACTTATACTTGATGGGTCTTCTTGGCTTACTGCAACATCTTGTATATTTATGTTCTGTGGATCTCTCTTAGGTTCAACAAACTGTTCATTTCCCTCCTCTGAATTATCAGATACTTGTCCAGAACTCATTGTCATTTTTCTATCTCCATCATTTTCACACTGTTGTGTCTCCCCCAACAAGAACTTATTGACTCGTTTTAATATCTTTTTCTGTGATTTACTTGCCTTATACTCAAGTGCTCGACATCTATAATATAATGTTATTTAATACAGTACCATGTTAAGAGTATTCACTGACATTATATCCATATTTTATTACTAACCGTATAGTATAAGAAGGACAGCAAGTGACATTTAATGTGGGTTTATAGCAATACTTGCCAGAACGCCTCCAGCCTCTATCTATTAAATCCTGATAATCACTAACAGTCAATGAGTGCGCCCACATGCCTAAAAGGAAAACGTTTCACGTTTGCTTTAGAATAATTCACAATATCATGTTTTTTTATATGTTCTGTAAACACAAAAGTACTACCATGACTGTAACTCTTATCAGGCTTCTTACAATAACCGCACTTGTATCGTTCATGTTCTGCATAATATTCCACTATGCTAAGAGATTTCTTCATATTATGCATATTTCTTTAATGGTGGAAATAGAATTACAATTCTTCTTCTTCTTTTCTTTTTTGGCGGTTTTCAATGAATACGCCAATGAACACTTCTGGTTAGAATTACAATTAAAAGTAAATTAATTTTATTTGACACAGCTAAATGCCAAATTTTTACACAAAGACGTATAATTTGACGTTCGTTCGACTTCGAATTCGATTGATTTAATAGTTTTGTTTAAGCTTTACCGCCTTAGGATGTCATCATACAGACTTTTTATCATTACAGGTTTATTGTAAAATATTTTAATTAATGTAATAATTATTAAAATATTTTAATTAATGTAATAATTATTATTGTTCAAGTATACCATCCCTATATCAACTGTGGTAGGGCTACAGTAGAGAGGGGTCGTATCGCTTTTTCTGTGTACCGTATCTGAATCAGATTTTGATTTCAAATATCAGATTTCGAAACTATGTATTTTTATATCTAGATATTTTACGGTCCCGTATCCACCTTGAATTCTAAAAAAAAAAAAAAATTCAACAATATTTTATACTTATTATATATAAATTGTGCAGGCGTATTTAAAAGTTGCTTCATTTCATTCATTCATTCATTCGACGATCATTATACCTAGAGACATGGGCGTTATCGAATTTATTCCATATCGGTTATTTATCCAGTATTTAATTATAAATGAAACTAATTTTCAAATCGATATCAAAAACCGTTTTCAAATATCGACAAAAAACCATGTTATGCTAGTTACCATACAGTAAAAAGTAATAGCTTAGACATGTCCCACAACTGGGCAAATGCCTCTGTCTGTACAGAGGATATTAGGGCATACTCCACCACGCGACATCACTTGGCAGACTTCACATATTTTTTAAATGTATATTTTTGTTATTATTCAAAAATATATAGGTTTCCATAAACTTTTACCGTTTTATAGACATAGTCTATAAAATTTATTGGTCGATCCATTTATTTTTAAACAATTTTTGTGTTTCACTTGACGAGTAATAAGATTAAGCTACACATGAATATATTATTTATGATAGATACGATGCAGATACTCGTAAATGTACAGCAGACATACAGTACTCATTTTATTATTGTCATAAATGTATTAAAAGCAAGTTCTTTAGTGTATAACCAAAACCATCACTCAAGTCATATAATTCAGACCGTATAAAAATATAAAAATTCTGTTTTCAAGGCCGTTTTTTTTGTCTATTAAATATCATGTTCTATTGAAATTAGCAACTGGTTGCTGAAACTATATTTAATGAATTCAAATAATTTTTTCTTTTAAGATTGCAGTTTCATTTACACATTTTAAAGTTTCGTCTTAAGTGCAGAGACTAGCACTAAAATAAAAAATTTAATATCAATTACTTTTAAATATTTACTGTAAAAATTTTATTTGTGAAAAATACGTAGTAAAGTAAGAGCCGCTATTCTTTTAAAAGCAAAGTTCGTGAGCATTTGCTTAAACAACTCTCAGCAGAATCAGTTCCTCGTTAATATCTGTTCTTTATTTTATATATTATTATATTATATTTATTTTTATGGTATATTATTATGTTACATTGTGGGTATATATACATATAGTACCTGGAGAACGGTTTGTTTTTTTTTGGTAAATCGTGTATTTTGGAAATTACATTTAGATACAAATTACTAAGTAATGAAAAATGCATAATATGTTTCGATCTTACCGACGTAATAATAAGAAAATATGAACTGGTGTTTTTCACAAAAGAAAGAACTTTAAAAAAAAGGGAAAAAAAATAACAAAATAACAAATCGACAAAAAATAACAGATAAAGAAAGCAATGATCTGGAATCGAAAAAAAAAATAAATGTGTAAATGATCGTGATACGAACCACGGCCTTCTGTTTCGTGGCTGTTTGTTAGCGGCCAAGAAATTGCTACCTTAGCAATAAGGCCGCCCGTATGTACACTATCTTTCCGGTATTTTCTTCCTTGTATTTCCTTCTGTGCAATATAGTATATTCAATCAATCAATATTTTTAAAGATTATGAAGATCTAACTTTTATTTTAATAATATTTATTAAATAAAAACACCGAACTAAACATATGGAAAATATATATTTCACGTATAATATAATAACAAGAACAAAATTAGGTACTTAGTATTATACATAACATTTAAAAAATATGGGTTATTAGACTCAGACCATAAATATTATTTATTACCTCCAGACAGTTTGGTAGCAAAGAAAATTTAAAAATTATGATGTACCATTAAAATATTTAACCTTATTTATTTACAAGAAAAAGCTTTTTCTTTTTTGTGACTGAATAGTATGATATCTGAAACCGATAAAATTTACATATTTTTATTTATATATTACAACTAGCTGCTGCCCGTGATTACGTCTGCGTAGAATAAATAGGCTGAAGGCATATAACTATAACATTCAGACAGAAAGACAGATATACATAAAAATATGTGTATAAATTATAGCCTATGTGTTATTCTGATGCATAAGCTTTATTATTGTAAAGTTTCATTAAAATCCATTCAGTAGTAATTGCGTGAAAGAGTAACAAACATCCATCCATACATACAAACTTTCGCCTTTATAATATTAGTAAGAATTCGGCTACGTTTTAGTCAATGTTGTCGTCAATCGTGCCGATAAGTCGAAGTTAACGTCGCACAATTATCATTTATATATAGGTACTTAGGTTTTTCAGGTCATTTAAACAATTTTTCATTAAAAAAAATATTTGTATGTTGCCTTCGTGAGATACAGGCAGAAGAGACTGTAAAAAGACATCAACGAGTGAAATGAAAAAATCAGATAGCGTTTTTTGTCTTATCTTATCCTTTAAACGAGCAATTCTTGTATATATATATATATATCTCGGAATCGGCTCCAGCCATTTTCATGAAATTTAGTATGTGCGTAGATTCGGGGGCGAAAAATCAACCTCTGGCTAGGTTTCATTATTAGAAAATGTCCTTTTATCCCTGTTTTCAGGGGATGAAAAATATCATTCGAATATGACAGTAAATTTCGCCACAAAATAAAATGTTATAATAACTCGGTCGGTAATCGGGCGGCCCCAAAACATACGGCCGTGGTTCGTAACTCGATCATTTACACACTTATTTTTTTACTTTTTTTCTATTCCAGATCATTTTCTTTATTTTTTATTTTTTTTTATTTCCAAAATACATAATTTACCAAAAAAAAAACCGAGCAAAGCTCGGTCCTCCGGGTACTTGTTTTTTTAAATGTTAAAATGACCTGAAAAACCCTATGCGAAATTGCGAATACTTACTTCACTTTGCCTACGGCTATTGTAAATGGAATGTGTGGACTTCTGGAAACTGTAGCGTGACCCGCGGAAAAAAAAATATAAATTGTGTATCTTGGTGTATCTTTGATAACTACAACCAGATTTGTTGTTACAGTGATTTTGCTCTCTAAACCAGAACGACATAGAGCGAAGGGTATTAAATATCCCGTTCATAATGTGATTTATCTCGATTGAGACTATGGCCGGTACCATTCTCATTAAACCAACGGCGATAGAGCATATAGTAGAATAGGTGATAGAAACACTAGCTACTTATGCTAGACGTTTAATGAGTTCTTTATCCATCCGTCAGAGGTACGCAACTAAAGTAACAACCTAATTTGCCGAACACATTCGCAGTTTGACAAGAGATTACAACGTATATCATTAACTACGAAAATTACTTAGTGGTCTTTATCTGCAGAAACTTAATGGCTTATTGCGTTTAAACAGGATAAATAACTCTGATGAATCATCAAATGAACACGGCTTAAAACGAGCGAAGATGCTCATTTGCAAGCTCTCCGGTGTTGCAGATTTTCATGGGTGGTGGTGAAGACTTTCCAACAGGTAAGCAGCGTGCCTATTGCCACAGATGAGATTAACGTAGAAACAAGCACATGGACTGCCTATATCTACAATGCCGATTCATTCCGCTCGGAATCTTACAGTAAACCCGTGTATATTAAGGGCATCCCACTATTTCTTCATCGCTGTCCTGTACTTATCCCACCTCAGTGGGGTCGGCACAACATGTGAATCATGTTGTGAGCCTACCTAACGTCAACCCTCCTTGGGACACAAACACCCAGATCCGGAACAATGTGGGTTACACAAATCCTTCTCCCGTGCAGTAATCGAACTCACGACCCCCAACGCCGAAGCTAATAACTTAGCAACGGCGCGACCGAGTCATCGTATTTAGTACATATATTGTATTTTGAGTTTTTTTTCCATAATTTAATTACATAATATATTTATTCAAACATACTCACACAGATTCATCTTCATCGACTTCAGTGATGTTTGACATGACAGAAGGTCTTACAGTAGCATTTATTTTTCGAGTTGGCCTTAATAAAAAATAATAAAATACATGTCAAAATTCTTTCATATCTATTGTAACTAAAATAAAAAAGTATTTCATAAGCTAACTAAGTAGGTATTTGATGAAGTTGTTATCTTTTCCTCTCCTGCTCTCTCTCTCATTTTTGTGAATTCTGTACCCGATTTTTGATTTAATGTTTAGTAAGTATTATCGTACCGCAACGTCAACATTAAATTACTGCTATTGCTTAGTACGAGAAGAATAAATTGGAAGACCTTTTGCATTTCTTGACAAAAAGAAACCAAATATATAAATATAAACTGACTGAATGACTTGACTGTGTTTTATGACAATATGACTTGTTTAAGTAAATATAACAATATAATTAAAATACCTTTTTCTAATTGAATTCCATGGCTGCACTTCAGTTTCACCCCAAATTAAAAATATTATCCCACAAGATAGTAGCACTGTAGCATGAAAGCACCAAATATTCTTCCAAACGCTTAATGAATTCTAAAATAATAACTGTGTTTAATTAATACTTAATTTGTAATAAGGACTTTTTTATAAAGAATATAAAGTTATGTACTTTGTATTTACTGGTTACTTCACCCACACA